TGGCTTGTGAGAAGGTGCTTCTTTCTCCATCCCCACTTCTGCATAGTCAGCTGGAAGTGTTGAAGCAGGTAGTGGCTCATCTTGCCTGGCCTAGGCTGGAGCAGCAAATGTGGTCTTGCCACTCCTAGTAGTGATGAAATCCAGCTGCTGGTGAGGCTCGCAAGGATTTGGTATGGTGGTGGCAGGCAAAGTCCCCGGTGCTCTGGTGTTATTTTTGCGGGCAATGCCACCAATCTGGTTCTGGAGATCCTGCAGTATAGCACCCTGGTTCCTTTGGCCTGCCTTCAGAGAAGTTATGTTCTGATCCATCCTCGCGAAATTCACATGACTGGTAGTCATGAATGCCTGCAAAATATTTTTCAGCTTCTTCATCTGGGTATCAGGAGCTGGAGCTGCTGGCAGCTGGGCATACGGGCGCTTTGGCTGCTGGAATGGCTACCCCTGTCTGGGCTGGTACGACTGCTGCTGTGGAGCTAGGCCCAACCTGGCCTGGAAGAGCTGTCGCTGCTGAAAAACCACCTGCTGGTGCTGGGAAACCAGGTGGTTTAGTGGTGTTGCTGGTATTCCAGGAGAAGTTGGGATGCCGGCGCCAACCTTCATTATATGTACCAATGTAAGGGTCGTGGCGCCGAGCATTGGCGATGAAGTCCAACTACTCCTGGGGTGTAGAAGACTCCCGCATGGCCTGGCAGTCTTTCGTGAAATGGTTCGAGCTCTCACACCACTGGCACTGAGCAACTGGAGGTCCAGCCAGATCTTTGCACGGAATAAGACTGTTGGGCTGCTTCAATGTCTGTACCAACTCAGCCACCTCCCGCTCTAGCCCAGGCCTGGCCTCCATGGCGTGCACACCACGATCCCGACAACTCCTGCTTCTGGTGCTCTGCCGCTAGGAGTGATCCCTGGCAGCCAAGGTACTGATCATCTGGTTCAGTTCGGGTGAGTCTTGGTGAGAATATCCCCTCCTCGGCATAGAGACTCGATCACCCTCTGACTCTCTAGGGTCAGAGCGTTGTAGAAATTCCCCACTGTGAATGCATCACTGAAACCGTGATGGGGACATTGCCAGAAGAACCCTGAGTACCGCTCCCAGGCATCACGAAGAGACTCATCTGGCTCCTGGCGGAAATGAGTAATCTTCCGCTATATCTCTGTAGTCTTCGATGTCGGATAATCCATGTGCACGAACTTGTCAGCTATATCGTCCCACGATGTGATAGATAGTGGGGGCTGGGTCTCTAACCACCTCTTCGCATGCCCCGCCAGAGAGTGGGGGAAGTGGTGAAGACGGATCGCATCATCGGGTACACCATTCATCTTGAACCCGTTTGTCAGCTGCAGGAATCGAGAAAGATGCACCCTTGCCTCCTCATCCTTCAAACCATGGAACTGGATAGAGGATGTAATTAGTTGAATCCAGCATGGCTTGATCTCAAAGTTGTTCGCGGGAATGGGCGGATATAGGATGACGGGGCGAATGTCAGCGATCCGTGGAGTGTAGTAATACTCCATCTGCCTAGGGTACTAGGTTGTTGGCCAGGACTTGATTTACCGGGGAACCTGGAGAGGTATCCCCTAGGGCGGGTTATGTTCACCGTCCATCTCGTACGCTGCTCAAGTGGTCGTCTATGCGCTCCTCCATAGCCAGTCTTGCTCGCTGTGCTCTCCTACGCTAGTGACAAGTGCGTTCAAGCTGTGGGTCCAACGATAGTAAGCCTCCTGACTGGCGACGGGTCATGCACTATATGCACATACGCAAACAAGAAACCCGTGAAGGCACAAGTGGGACAAAGCAAACAAACAATGCGAAAAAGAAAAGCTAAATTAACAGAAACCACGTTTCTTCAACAACCTAGCCGTCCCCGGCAACGGCGCCAAAAACTTGACTCGCCTTTACCATCACACTAGAAAATGGCCAAGTGAAACTACCTGCTAGAGCGTAGTATAGCGGGTATGGGTTTTAATGTCAACCCGGGTCCTAAGTGTGCTGACTACTCCGTGAATTCTTATTATTTAGTAGTAAAAGTGTAGTGAAGGTCCAAACAAACAAGCAAGCAATGCAGTAAAATGTTGTTTTCAAGTTGAGAGAGGTCACTCGGATATGGTTCCCCCTAGACTGCAGTTAAGCCAGATTGTAATTTACCAAGTTCGAATTCAAATATAATTATACTGCGGGAGGTTCTTATGCAGTCTGCAGTCTCGACTAAAGGTCTCTAGGCCCTCTCAATCTGAGTCCCTAGCGGGCGACTAACCTCCACCAGAGTAAACAGATTGAGGACCTAACGAACCAAACTTCCACTACCGAAGTAACTCCGGTACAGGATAGTGAATCGACTCCTCGACTAAAGTCGTCAATTCACTACCTTCAATCAAGGGTGCTCTATCAACCAAGGCATATATTCTCTTATTAGCTCAAAGCAGAAACAACAGGAATTTGATCAGGATTCATGCCATTCAACAAATCAGACCTCAATTGAATATAATCAAATAAATGGATTCATACTTGGGTTCATACAATCAGACCTAACATAAAAATTTAGGGTTCTTCATACCCAGGTGAATGTGGAAGTTACTCCATGGAGAGAGAAGCAAACTCTATCCCAAAAGCAGAAATCAGGCTGTGAAAAATGGGGTTCTGCTTCTGGTCGGCAATCGGCACTTCTCCAAGCGTTATCCGAGCTCCACTCCACTGATGATGAAGATCGATCTAAGGCGCTTGGGAACTCTGGTGCGTCGCTCTCTCTCTCTCTCTAGGTATCACTTTCTTTCTCTAAAACTCGGAACCACTTCACAATTGGCCTTCTTTCCCTTAAAATCAAGCTGCTCGCAATCCCCGGTCATAATCCCCGGTCGGGTATTTCAGGTGCTCGGCCGGGGATTTTGAAACGCAGTGCATCGGTGACGCCTTTAATACCCGATCGAGGTCAAGAATACCCGATCGGGTACTTTTGGTCTCTGGCGGGGACCCATTCTGTTTCTCAACGTCCCAAAAGCGTTTTTCCCCGACCTCCATGGATTTTTACCCGGCCGGGTATTTTTTATCATGGCCGGGTATTTTGCTCCTCCAGTACCCTTCAACTTAAACGTCCTCCTTTTGTCTCGAAATTTTCTTCTTCGCCTCAACGTCAACGCCAAGCCCTAAAATATGACATAAACACACAACCTAGCGTGAAATCGGCTTTAAACACGAGAAAACATCTCCAACGGTCAAGAATAGGGGTAAAAACATGTGCAATCAATGGTCTATCAAATTCACAAAGGTAAAGTTCAAAAACAAACCTGGAGACTCAAGTAAGACGAGGGAGGAAGTGAGGTGCGAGCGAGGATGGTGAAAAAGTGGTCGGAAAAATGAACGGAGAGGGGTCGCTGGAGCTTCGTCGGTAGCTCGTCGGAGACTCACCGCTGGTGACTTGGCCGGGAAAAATGTGGTCCAAATCTCCCTAAATTCACAGCACAAGCCGGTTTTAGGAGAGGGGACTGGGTATGACGTTGGTTTTTGGTTTGCTCGCCGGATTTGGGGTTAAAGTCGAAAAAGCGACTGGATTTCGCGATTTTCGGCGAAGATTCAAAGTTTTCCGGCGAGTTTTTGGTCGTGAAGTGAAGGGTCTCCGTTCACGCCCCTTTTATAGGCAGAGCTCTGAGTTCACGGACGCGTTGCCGAGTTCATAGTCTTAGAGACCGTGAACTCGCGGATGCGTACTCGCGGATGCGTCCGTGAATACAGAGTGGTTGATAAGTGGTGAACATGCATCAACGCCTAGTTCACGGACACGTTTGCCTATTCATGGTCTTAGCGACCGTGAACTCAACAATCCGTCCGTGAACTCAAGTGAAAACAAGGCACTTCTGCAAAAAAAATTTGACTCAACCTATCCTCCGTGCCTCCTAATCGATCACAACACAACCATAAACCGCAACAATACAACACTCGGCACGGGGACACCACCTCACCACTCGAACCCTTCACATGACACTAAAACGAAAACTAATGAAATGAAAATAAACCTCTATTGGGTTGCCTCCCAACAAGCGCTTGTTTATCATCATTAGTTTGACGGTTGGGGATCAATCATGACTTCAAACGTGATGCAACCGAGAGCGGATCCACCACACTCTCGGGGCGAGGCTTGTAACCTCCCATCTTAGGCTCTTTGAGTTGGCCCTCTTGGTTGGCCAACCTTGCTTCGGGCTCTCACGCCTTCCGGGTCAAAGCTCCCTTCATCCTTCTTCTCCAAGCATTCAATAATGGTCCTTTTGGCTTAGGACCTTCTTAACTTCCTACTCAACATCATGAAAGACAAAACAAGTAATGGTGGAGTTTTCCTTAGGAGGCAAAGCCGAGCACTCCTCACAAAGAGTCACGTTGGCGAGGCCTTCAAGCCTTGGCTTCTTGATGAGGAATCCTTTGAGGTACTTGGCATATCTTGGCATTTGCGCCATGGCTTCGAGGAATGGGATGTTGAGGTGGAGGTTGCGTAGCATTTCCCTGAACCCTTGAAAGAAACCTATTTCTAGGGTCTATCGATAGTGCTGGTTGGTTGGAAATTTAGGGATTTGGGGATAGAATTAGGGATTGAGATTGAGGATTTGGGAAAGAAGAAGAACAGAATCGGCCTAGGCCTTTAGATGGATTGAGAACGAGAACTGAGAGGATAGGGAGATTAGGGTTTGGAAGGGTTTTCTTAATATTCTTCTTATTGATTGAATAGACGAATAACAACGTACATATACAGGAAAGAACCATAAAACCCTAACAATTAACCTAATACGACTAAAAGACTAATTACTCTAATATAATAATAATTATAGAAACCGAACGGAAGTTGGTTTCTATCATCTCCTCCCCCTTGAGACCAACTTTTTCCTCAAGGTTGACCAAATAAAATAATACTACTAATCCTATCGATATATGGAGCCCAAAGGATAATGATAGCCATGCCAGCACTTGTCTCTATAACTTGAGCGGCTAGTGAAACCACTCCCATCATCATGGCTGAATCGTCGTGCAACTGTCTTAATTGGCGGAGTGTGGCAATCGTCGGAGTGTCTTGGCGGAGGCCAGTACCCGTCATCATCATACTCACGTTCATCTTCATATGAGTCATTCCAGCTTTGTTCCACGCAATACACTTGTCCTGGCTTTAACAACGCCGTCACGCGGTCCTGGTAGAAACGATAATTAGCCTATTTGGTTTGCCTTGTTGAATCGTGATCCAACTCATGCTGGTCCATTGGATCGAACCATTATCGGTTCGAGTTTGGCTCACCTCGCTGGACTGGTCTTGTCAGCCTTGGTTGTGCAGATTTGATAGAGGGATTTGACCCATAACCAATCGGCTCATATGGACTCCAAATTGGCCTAACCCAGCCCGGCCAGTGTCACAATCGTCCGAGAAATCCTGGCTTGGCAACTTCCTTTGATGCGTAGTGTAGAAGTCGGTGCCTTGTTGATCGCCGAAGTTGTCGTCGAGCTGCCTGTCGGGATCTGAGTTGATGTAATTTCCACGGCGGCTGACCAACGAAAATTCAACGTCGAGTGGTTGCTTGCCAAGCTGCGGAATCGCCATTGTGGCTGCCGGAATGATAGAGCCATAAGGGACGACAGCCTTCATCATCTCCTTATCCTCTAGCAGAGGCGATGCTGGTGCGTTCGACTTGGATGGTGGAGAGATTGGCATATCTATCGTCATGGTAGTCAGCTCCGGAAGCCGTTCAAGCGCTTCAACCAGTTGTTCGAGGGCTTGGTACTTGGCAGTGGTGGACTGGCAAGGTCGACAATCATCGCACGGAGTTCGTCGAACTGGTGAGAGATTGCCTGAGTGAGGCTGGCCTCAACTGCCTTCATCGCAGCTGGCAGGGCCTCAAGAGAACTTATTGCCATGTTTACGAAAATATTTTCGATGCGGACCCAGAAGACTTGTCGCGGAAAGATGGCAGGCTCTGCGGGAGCTTGCTTGAGGGAAACAAATCCCTACTCCAAACCTTCTATTAATGCGACAAAAATAAGGAATAATAATTCCTTTTCTTTGAGTAAAATAGTCCCACGGTAGTACTCTTCTGTTGCCGCCTGCAACTAGTTTTGGAGGCAACAGATGAATTTGATTTGAGTGTCAATAACGGGACAGCAGAACTTGTCCCCGGTTGAGAGTAGTGATGAACTTGTATTCGCAATCGGGCTCTGATACCAGATGATAGAAACCTATTTCTAGGGTTCTAGGGATAGTGTTGATTGGTTGGAAATTTAGGGATTTGGGGATAGAAATAGGGATTGAGATTGAGGATTTGGGAAAGAAGAAGAACAGAATCGGCCTAGACCTTTAGATGGATTGAGAACAAGAACTGAGAGGATAGGGAGATTAGGGTTTGGAAGGGTTTTCTTAATATTCTTCTTATTGATTGAATAGACGAATAACAACGTACATATATAGGAAAGAACCATAAAACCCTAACAATTAACCTAATACGACTAAAAGACTAATTACTCTAATATAATAATAATTATAGAAACCGAACGGAAGTTGGTTTCTATCAACCCTCCACACTCGTTGTCCAACCTCTCCTTATACATCCTTGTGGGATAAGGAAGAGGTGGCACATATCCATCCTCCGGCATTGCCTGCCTCGCCGCCTTCCTCTTATTCCTCGAGGGCTTCTTCTCTCCTTTTTTCGGGGTGTTCTCTTCCTTGTTGGACTCTTCCATCTCTATTGCTTCTTCAGTGGCGACCTCCGGAACCACCTTCACACTCCTCACTTGAAGTGCATTCACCCAGGCTTGATCCTTGGGGTTCACCACAGTTTGGGAAGGTAAGGCTCCCTTGGGTCTCTCAGTGAGGATACCGGCAAGGTTTCCAATTTGAACTTCCAAGCTTTGAAGACTCGCTTGATGGCTTCGGAGACCCGCCTCAACAGAGGTAAACTTGGTAGTCGCCACATCCATAAATTGCTCAATCTTCTCGAACTTTTGGCTACTCGTACTCACAAAGGTGTTCACTAGGTCCTCAAGCTTGGATAACTTGTCGGGTTGATGTTGTTGTTGAAACCCTAGGGCACCTTGTGGTTGGTACGGTTGTTGAAAGTTTGAGCCTTGGATTTGGGGCCTTTGTTGGATGAAAGTTGTCCGAGGTTGGAAATTCCATATGGGGCCTTGGAAACCCCGGGGCTTTGGTTTAGCCGGTAATGCCCAAGCAAAGTTGGGGTGGTTCCTCCATCCGGGGTTATTAGTATTGCTATACGGGTTGTTGACCCTAGCATTTGCCACAAAGTTGACTTGCTCCTCCGGAGTGGTTGCCTCCTTCATTTCTTGGGACTCCGCTATCTCGTGGCTAGTACTCGAGCACCCGTCGCACGACATTACCGCCCATTTTCCATGCCTTTTATCTTCAAGCATAACCTCAAGCAACTTATCCAACTTTGCCTCAAGCGAAGCACTCACTCCCACGCTTCTCACTCCCCTTTCATTGCTTCTTCTTCCACTTCTAGTCAACCCCCAATCATACCCCCAAAGGACCATGTATTCTAAGATCTCAGTTATTTGGGGCGGAGCCATATTCATAAACTTCCCCTGACACGAGGAGTCAATGAGGATCTTATCTTCTTTCATTAGGCCTTCGTAGAAGGTTTGGCATTGAAGAAAGTAATCGGAGTACCTCTCCCAAGCATCCCTCAAGGTTTCGTCCTCTTCTTGCTCGAAATGTGTAATCTTCTTTCTCCACTCCGCCGTCTTCGAAGGCGGGCAATAACGAGCCATAAACTTGTTGAGGAGGTCGTCCCATGAGGTGATAGACCGAGGTGGGCGGTTGTTTAGCCACCTAAGTGCCTTCCCCAAGAGTGAGTATGGGAAAAGCCATAGTTGCAAAGCCTCGGCCGGCACACCATTAATCTTCAAGCTCCCCGCGAGCTCCAAGAATCTCTGCACGTGCTCTCTTGGTGACTCGCTTTCATGGCCTTGGAAGAGAGCATTACTTTGTATCATAGTCACTAGAGTCGGCTTTATCTCGAAATTGTTTGCCGCCACCAGAGGATGTAGGATAGGCAATTGAATGTCCGCCGGCCTTGGGGCCATATAGTATCCCATCGTCCTCGGGGCTCCTTCTTCTCCCGCCTCCTCATTCATTTGGCGGGCTTGAGATGCTCCATCTTGCCTTTGGTTCCCCGCCATTTCCTCTTCAATGACGGGTTGAACTTCCACTTCTTCAATTTCTTCACCACTAACACCGGGACCCAATTGTTGTCCCCCTCTTTCACTCCTTCTCCTTGCCTCGGCTAGCTCTCTCTCCCTTGCTAGGAGTCGGTAAGTTTGGTTTATCTACTCTTCAAGTGGGTTCAAGGGTGTCGGGTTGCTCTGGGTCATGCACCACCTACACACAATCGAAAAGCACCAAGTCTAGCACAAGCAAAGAACACACACACTTGCAAAACTGGAAATTAAAAGATACATTAACAACCAACAACTTTTTCAGAATAACAGACCGTTGTCCTCGGCAAGGGCGCCAACAACTTGACTCACACGAAACTACACCACAATTAAACCCCAATTAGAGCCCAAGTTTTTAAACTCTAATCGGGTGCAGTATAGGGCAAGTATTTATATATCGACTCGAGCCGGTCCGTCTACCCCTACTTCGGTTGTCGAAATCATTATCTAACGATAAAAATTTGGTTTCAAGGTTTTCTAATTGAAACGAAAGAAAGAAAAGGAGATTTGGTTTGAAAAATCTTTTGTGGGAAAGTCACTCGGGTTTTGCTTCCCCCTAACCGCTACCATGCTATGTGGATTGGAACGATTGCCTTGGGCATGTTAATCGTGAACCGCAGAGGAAAGCGTATGTGGTCGAAGATCACAATCTCAATTGCTAAACTGAGGTGAGGATGAAAGGCCGTGTCACTCGACCCTCTCGGTTTAGACAATCGGTAATCGGCTTACTCCCTCATTCAACTCTAAGGTCGGATGGCTTAACCACGATTAATCGACTTGTTCAATTTAATATTGAGGGTTGCCCTAACTCAACCTAGTTTAGGTGGCTTAGAAAGCGGAAGGAATACCATCTCGATTGAGTCTCCTTTGAAAGGGGGATTTTCCTCTCTAAACTAGGCTAAGGTGGCAAATTAGATTACTAGCACCTACATGCAAAAACCTAGGGGGTGCTAAGCACAATTATGCACAATGTCTAGGATGCTAAGCACAAAATATGCACAACCCCTAAGTTGCTAAGAACAAGCATGCACAATCATGGTGAATAATGCCTCAACCATTAAATTGAACAATACCCAATATCAATCATCCAAACCACATACAAGAAAACTACATGGTAGAGTTAGGGTTTCACTACACCCAAGTGAAAGGAGGACTACTCCATGGAATAAGTGGGAAGAACAAAAGGGGAAAAGGTGGAAACTATCTTTTGGGGATGCCTCCTCTCTTCTTCAACCTTGGGCTGAGATCTCCATGGGTGAATCTTTCCAAAATCTGCATTGAAGCCAAACGCTAACCTCTTCTTCTCTTTGGTTCTGTTTCTCTCACTAAAATGCTGAAGAAGGTGTTTCTCTCACAAAAGTGGGCTCTCCCTTCTCTCCTCCTTGCAGCTCAGCTTTTAAACACGAGAAGAGCTAAGTTCACGGCCTGAGTTCATGGTCGTGAACCATCAAACGCATCCATGAACTCAAGCCGCATGCCAAAATGCTTCTCATCTCTCACGTTAGTTCACGGGCAACTGCTTGTATTCACGGTCTTGGTGACCGAGAACTCACCTTGCGTCAGTAACCTTCAAATTGGCTCTGGACGCCTTATACGCTTCACGATCAACTCCCCTTCTTCAAGGTCTTGCACTACCGTGAACTCCTGCCTTTAGCCGTGAATTGGCGCTTTTTCACCTCTTCTCCCAGTTTTTGATCCTTTTCGCCGATCTTTCAACTCCGAGGCTGGTTCCACCTATTAAATCCTGAAAAGCACTCAAACACGAAGTACCTCGCGTAAAACCAACCTTTAATGTGCGAATTTGACACAAACATCTAAGTCAAACGGGGGCAAAACATGTGTTATTAGGCCCGAATCAAGCATAGTCGAGGTAAGCAAAAACTTATGCCTTCATTTTTCCAGATTCATGAGGTAGGTCTTTATCAATCCATGCATGCTAATGTTATTTTGCTTGTTTTGGCTTTGTTTGGGAGTTCTTCAGGTTTGCATTAGACATAAGCTCACCATCTGCAGTCTGGTGAACAGAGTCTCCCTCTCCAGATTAGAGGTTAGGCATAACCTTACTCCAATTCAACTCTCGATTGTAACTTGTATAGTGTGTTGTGTGATTTGTCTGGGTAGTTATGGTTGATTGATTGCATGCAATTGTTTAATTGTTTATGTAGATGGATGGTGCTACTGAAAATGGTGCTTTGAATGTGAATGATCCTAATGTACCTTCTAATCAAAACGGTAATGATAATGGTAATGGTAATGCTACTGCTACTGCTAATGGTTCTGGGAATGATGCGTTGAATAATGGAAATGAAAATGTTGAAATAATTATGGATGAAGATCGTAAATTGACTTCTGATGTCTTGCCACATTTTGTGATGGTGAAGTTTAATGGGGAGATTAAAGCCAAGTGTAAATACTGTCGAAAACGTTTAGGTGGTGATACTAGTAATGGAACCTCCCACCTGAGGAACCATTACAAAACTTGCACCCAAAGAAAGATACATGATGGTAGGCAGATAGTTCATGGTCATGATTATAAAACAACTGGAAAACACTTCCTATCTGCTACTCAATTCAATTCTGATATGTCTAGGAAGGAATTGTGCTCTATGATTATGGTGCATGAGTATCCCCCATTGTTGAACACTTGGGGTTTAAACGTTT